TTTTTTTTTTTTTGTGGTGTTGGGTTTTTGGTTTGTTGGTTTTTTAGTTCTCTCTTCACTGTAGTGCCACCAATTTTATATTTGAAATATCAAGTCTCTTGTCCCTTAGCAAGATAACYTCATATGAAGGCTAAAATCTGAAGGACAGAACTCCTGGCCTTGGCCTGGCCAGTGCAGCTGAATGCTCCACCTTAAAGCCCATGTTTAATTTGGCTTATTTCAACTGATATAATTTGGCTCATTTAAACTGATACCTCATGAGCTGGTATCTCATCAGAAGACAAGCTGTTTCAAGTGCAGGCACAAACTAGAAGCTCATTTTGCTGTCTTTTGGGATTCTATCTAGTAAGACAAAACAAACCCAAACCTGCTATTTTCTAAGATGTCTTTTAAAAGCTGGGGCAATAGAGGGTTGTTTATAGAATGATATTTGAGACCTTATAACTACATCATTTTGAAAAGCAAACCTTTCCTCATCATTACTGATTTATTGTAAATAAACAGGAGACCTACTGGCTGTGATTTTTCATTTCAGAATGCAACAAAAGAGAGGAAGTTGCTCAATTTTATAGACACCAGAAGTAGTAAAGTAGCTTACCAGTTTTATGCTTGATGACACACCTGAAATCCACAAGTAGYTCTAAGAAACACTATTTGGAGGTAGTCTTCAACTAAAGTATATTGATTAGCAGCTGCAGCTTATGAATTTGATTTACTGCCCCTTTTATCTAGATAAAGCAMTATAACATCAGATAATATGTGTTTTGGGGATAGCAAATAGCTTTCCATGATAGCTGTAAGGCATGATTTTAAATGAAAAGTCTACCCTGGTGAGTAATCCTCCTCAGATCTAAACATCATATTTCTTGCCAGTAAAGTGAGTTAGAATGGTTTTTTTCAGTGTATTAGTTACCAGGCTATAAGATGTTTTGGGATGTGGGAAATAGGCTTGATTCTCAGACACAAACCTGTGTGTGCTGTGAATCTTCTGTTGCCTGTTTGCAATATCTCAGGTCTTTCCCCTCATGCAAAGTTATTATTCATCTCTTCCTTTTACACAAGGAGGTAAAACAGCATGACTCTCTCCATTACTGAAAATAAGAACCATAMCTTTGTATGCCTGTTGAAGTGAAAAATTAGAGATAGTGTGCACTTGAACTTTGATGACTCACTGTTTTTTTCCYCACTGCTGACTTAAGTTCATTTGGCTTTCCAGGTCTTTGTTTTATCCTCAGTCTGTAAATGTTTGAGCAGATAAACCGTCTCTGCTGATCTCACAAGAGCTTCTCAGCAGCAGGAGAGTGGGCAGCGCTTCAGTGGCCAAGGGAAAAGTTAAAATGGATCTGTTTCTGGGCTCTTTTCCACTGAGCTTTGTGAAGAGGAACAGAACTGAGCCTTAGTCTTGATTCTGGAGCTACCTGGGAAACAGCAGGAGCCTCATAGTCTGTACRTTCTTATTGTGTTTATCTTGGCATGTGCTTTCAGTGACAAGTTTCCAAAAATCAGAGTTGGTTCACCTGTCCTGTTTAACATCACAGGGCTCAGGATGAGGAGCACGGCGTAAACTTCAAAGAGAAATCCTGCCAACAGTATTTCCTAGAAATGCTGTAGCTCAGACCTCTGCAGAAAGGAGGATGGGGAGAGAAGAAAAAAAACATGTTTTCTGACTTCTCTATTGTGTTCTTTCATTGGTGTACAATTGCTGTAACAATCTCCTTGCTGGGCCCTAAAACAGCTAGAGAAGTGGAATTTATGAAATAGGCAGATGTGCAGAACATACAAGGACAGCATTTTGCACTGGCGTACATTTAAGGAAGAGACAAACCAGTGACTAGATACTACACTGGGCATTTGGAGGTAGTTTAATTCTTCCTGCAAGGCTGGCAAATTATGGTTTGTTCCTGGCTCAGTTCTCAACTGACTAAGAGTAGATAGAAAAATGCTTCTAGGTAATATATTAGCTATCAGAGGTGTTAATTAACATCTGCTGAATTGCGTCTGAAATGACAAACAGTGAGAAAGTRAGGAATCACATTAGAGCAGCGAACMCTGCTGATCATGACTGAAACCACATAAGCTTTGGAAATGTGATTTGAAATGGAGGCCCAATTTTAAATGATCAGTTGAAGCACTTAAAATATTATCTGTTTTTGTTGGTGACAGCTATTTTTCCCTAACCCATATATTTTTATTTTTCTTCTGTAATAGTTTACCATACAGATATCTTTTTAATGAGTATTTGTACACACTATATATTACCTCTCTAGTTTTACTGATTGGTTTTCACCTTTTTTTCTGCTGAAACAGGAATTTGGCTGATCTTGTCACCTGCAAAATGTTTCCACAAAATTCGAAGCTATACCTATGACTTATGCATAAACCTAAACTCAAATTCATAACAATACCTTGCAGTTGTGGAGAGCTCTGGAGAAGTGAGTTCCCCTGGAGACTGATCTTTTCATCTTCCTGAAAAAAGCATGCATCATCCTTACTTTTTAAAAAGGGTATGCAGAATATAGGGCTAAAGTAAAGCTTCTAAGTATGTGAACAAAATTATGGATCTAGCCTGAGAACAGAAATCAGACTATGCTGAAACTAGCTAAGAAAACCAAGGTGTGACAAGTGGAGGCAAGAGTGTCAAGTGGACATTCCAAAATTTTAGATCTCGGAGAGAAACCTTTGGGTATGTGCGTGTTTTAAACTTAACATATCATTGTGCAGCGACTTCCAGGGCATGGCTGAGACTTCAACGAGAGCCAGAGATGGGCAGAAGAGAAATTCCATTTGTGGAATTGGCATCCCGCTTCCACACATAGGAAAAACAATTTAGTTACATGGTGAGATGTGTGTGTAAACCAGTGTGATTGTGTGGGAATGGGCCCCCTCATGCAGCTGCAGATTTCCAGTGTGGTCAAAGGGTCACAYTGACAAAAGCATTGAGGTGTCTGATTCCATTTACTTCAATGGTGCCTCAGTACCCTTGTGGTTCTAAGCTTCAGTAAAACCTCATAAAAGAGGGAGTGTAGTTACATGAAACTGTCAAAATTGTACTARGATGAGAAGCTTAAAASGAAAATTTWAAAAATCTGGTTTATTTACCAATGCAAATGTAATTAATGCAAAAGAGCTGCCTAATAACATATATTTTTAATTCTGTATTTTCAGCTGTTTATGCTGAAGCAGTGTAGCTGCTTTCTCCCCTCCTCCCTGGTATATTCTTGCTTTSCAGCTGCTATTTGATCTTTCCCAGTCTTGACTTGAAATATTCCTTACAGAACCTAAGCCCCGTGTAGCATTTCGACAGGGCTATTGTTCTTTTATCCACTGCCTGTAGATCAGCTTTTACTGCTAAACAGCTTCTTTATAAACCCCAGTGAAACCTTCTCTCATGCTTTTTGTTTGCATTGAGAACAAGACCAAAGGTTGAAGGGAGTTTTAAGTCCTGAGGTGTGCAGAGCCCCCCCATCCCTCCCTCTGTTTCGGTGTTAGTTACTGCTTCGGCCTTTAC